CGACAAGATGTACACATGAGCTTTGGCCGGACACAATTGCAGTTCATTTGTTGAAGAATCAAGAGAAGTGGATTAGAACATTGAAGTATTTCAATGTCACTGATAATCTCAAGCCTTCCAAATTGTACCATATACCTTAGATACTATATACCTGAACTACTTTTTCTTTTATTTTTATTCTTTTCAATTATTGCTGAATTTAGATGATACAATCTGATTTTGATGATTCATTCTTGCTTTATACTATGTAATTTGATCCGAGGTTCAAATGGGTGATTGACCCTCCCATGAAAATGAATGCCTACTGCCTTCAAAGTTATTTGGTTCATGATGTGTTGATGAATTCTCCCCGCATCTACTCTATAGGAGTGATTGAAAAGGGAAAATTATCTACAAAAATAAGGATGGTTGACTTCACTGGATTCTTTGAAGCTTTTTTTTCCCCTCATTGTGACCATCTTAGTTTTTGTAATTTTTAATTTCCTAGTTTACCCCTAACTGAAAATCATCCAAACAAAAAATAAGCCAAAGTGGGAGGGTGATGCCCTCTCTCTCCTCTCGTTGCAACAATATTAAGATGAAAATTGGGTGATTTGCAACTCAAGAGAGGGAAAAAAAGAAGGCAATAATCATGAAAGTTGAGAGCGGACTGCCCTGGATCAACTATAATCATCTCACGTGTGGAGAAATAATTATTTATAAATAAGTATAATAAGTGGGAAGCTCTCCTAAAATTGTATCGAGGTCTTTTGAGATAGAGCCGCAATCACGCCATGCGGCCTTACTCTCAACTCTGTATTGTATTAAGTTGAGAACAATATATTTGCAATCTGAAAAAAGCTTAAAGATGCAACAAAGTAGTACTAGAGGCTGTTTCGCCTTGGGATCGAGGTGTAGCTAACAAATGGTTAGAAGGGGGCTCAATTGCCCAATAGATGTACATGTAGTAGCTTGGAGAAATTGTAAATTCTGATTAGGTTCAAGATGCAGAGAATCAAGATCCTTCAAGTTGTTGGAAAATTCAAGTTAATACTCCTGGTCCAAGTCCAATCTAAATCATCCAAGCTTTTTTCTAACAAATCTAATGACGAATGAGAATTTTTGTTCATTAAATTAAACCTTTGCCAGTTTATTTCGTTTCTTCCAACAACTCCATTAGGTTGGCAGTGTGTCTCTTCTACTTCAATAATTGCTTGGTACATTTCATACTAAGAGGAAGAATATTGCTCTTTGGCTTACCAAACAAAGACATGTATTATACCCCTTGCAAATGAGGTGGATGCTAATGACAATAGCTCACTTACAAAACTTTACAATTATTTTAACTCTAGTCTCTTTCCCATCACCTACCAGATTTCATCTATATGGAGAAACAATGAAAGAAACTTTGAATACATAAACCAAAGCTTGGAATTCTAGGTTTTCTTTTGAATACAAGAACATCATGAAGATACCAAGGCCAGACGGGCTACGTTTTATAACTTCTTCTTTGTTCTTCATTTGTTTCCTCTATGATTTGGCTTCTATAACCGAACTGCGATTCGACAGTCTTCTGGAATTTGGGCGTTGTGCTCTTGCTAACATCAACATGCCCTCTGCTCAGTTGTATAATTCATCAAACACTTTGCATTCATCACCAAATATCACTTCACTGGCCCTTAATTCTTCCTCAAACGATGAAATCCGAGTACTTTTCGGAATTCTAACACTTCCTGGCCAATACCAACGCCGCCATTTCCTTCGTTTGATCTATGGCACACAGACTCCGGTGGGCGCAAAAGTGGACGTGAAGTTTGTGATGTGCAACCTCACCAAGGAAGACCAAGAAGTGCTTGTAGCATTGGAAATAATGCGTTATGATGATATTATTATTCTCGATTGCGAAGAGAACATGAACAAGGGTAAGACTTGCACCTACTTTTCGAGCTTGCCCGAGATGTTCAACAATACGAATGGGGTTTATCCACCTTACCATTACGTAATGAAAGCTGACGATGATGCCTACTTCAGGCTGCAGAACTTGGTGGACTCTCTGAAGCCGTTGCCTAGAGAAGACTTGTACTATGGTTATGTTATTCCATGTTCAAGCATGGAGCCGTTTGGTCACTACATGTCTGGCATGGGGTACTTGATTTCTTGGGACATAGTGGAGTGGATCAGAGAATCCGATATCCCCAGGAACCACCTAGAAGGGCCTGAAGATAAAACTTTTGGTGACTGGATAAAAAATGGACATCGTGCTAAGAACAGGTTCAACGCTAAGTGGTCCATGTACAATTTTCCTGAGCCACCCACGAAACGTACACATGAGCTTTGGCCACACACAATTGCAGTTCATTTGTTGAAGAATCAAGAAAAGTGGATTAGGACATTGAAGTATTTTAATGTCACTGATAATCTCAAGCCTTCCAAATTGTACCATATACCATAGGTCTTTATACTTGAAATTTTTATTTATTTTATTTTTGTAATAATTCTCATTATTGTTAAATTGAGACCAGACAATTTGATTTTGGTGGTTACACTCTACACTGATTCATCCAAAATTTCTAGGCGATAGAACTATATGTATTCTTCATTTATAGGAATAAAGAAATGAGAGCAATTTTAAGACAAAATAAGAAAAATAAAAGGAAAAAAACTAAGGAACTGTTTTGAGTTCTGCTTAGTTCATTTTATTGAGATGGCATGTATATATACATATATATTGAACTTGCTAAAAATATATAACTACTTAAAAATGGAAGATATAGTTTAAACCATACAATTTATATGGCTTAAAATGGTCAAAAGAATAAATAAAACCATTAGTTTTGGTTTTGAACAGACAATGTCAAAACTTTAAATATCTTAAAGCTTTTAATTATTATTTTAATATTAATTTATTGGTATCCTTCTGGATCATGGCTCTCCTATTTAAAAATCTTGAGCTCCTACTCAAGTTAAATGGTGAGATGTGGCTATTCTTGGGCTACCTTGTCTCAAATATTTCACTTTGATTTGCTAGGAAGTTGACCTTTTCTTCAAGTCACTAATTGATAGAAGGCGAGTGTCTTTGTTGGGATCATCATCAAGTAGAAATGACTCAAAAAGCTTAAGATTCTCAGCATTGATGACTGAGTACATATGCATGTATGGTGATAATTCAAGTTGAAATGAATTATCACCAATTTGTTTGATGATCTTGAACGGTCCATAACAAATAGGCTTCAATTTCTTGCCTTCGCTAGTTAGCCGCTCCTTTCCAAGGTGTAACCATACTAGGTCAACTTCTTTGAAGTTACATAGCACACGATGGTTATCATGGCGAGCTTTATATTGCTACTGAGAACGGTGCAATTGTGCCTCCACTTCAGTATGAATATTTCTAACTCATTTGAGAAATTTATGTGCTTGAACATGTTCTTTTCTTCATTCCCACTTAATGGCGTTTCACTCGTAGTGAATGCCATATCAAAAGGACTCTGGGGTAAGTAACCCAAACAAACCTCAAAGGGAGATTGGAGTGTGGAACTATGAATTGCTTTGTTAAAAGCAAATTGTAAATAAGAGAGACTTTCATCCCAAGTCTTCGGATGCTCGGAATTGTAACCCCTCAACAAGTGTACCAAAGTTCGATTTATGACCTCTGTTTGTCCATTGGTCTGTAGATGAAATGAAGTGCATCTTTTCAATCTAGTATCCATCATTCCTCATAACGACTTCCAGAAATGGCCTAAGAATCGACTGTCTTTATCAGAAATAATCGATGTAGGTAAGCCAAAATGCTTCGAAACATGTTAGAAAAATAACTTAGCAGCGCCTTCTCCAGTAACAGTTTTTTTGCATGGAATTAGAATCACCATCTTACTGAAACAATCTACCTCCACAAACAAGTAGTCGTTTCCAGACTTGGTTTTAGGCAATCCACCTAAGAAATCTATCGAGATACTCTCCTTAGGTCGGCTAGGTACTAGCAATGGAAGATACAGTCCTAACTTTCTATTGGAATGCTTCAATGTGTTGCATAGAACACAACCTCGAATGTACCGTGAAACATAAAGATGCATTTTTGGCCAATAAACATAGTGACGAAATATTCAATAAAGTCTTCGCAACCCCAAAATGTCCTACTACTTTGGAAGTATGAGCCTCACGAATCCACTGCAATCTATCGCCATATTTTGGAATGCACAATTGTGTTCCCTTGTACATTAGTCAATCCTTCAATTAGAACTCACTAGGCTTTACTTATTATAGCTTGGCATAGACTGAGGTGAAATCGGCATCTGTGTCGTACCCTTTGGCATACTCAGAAGGAAGAATAGGTTAGATCTGTATAGCGACCAGCAATGCAGAACTAACTGGTGTAAGCGGTGTAGATAACATATCTCCCAACTTTTTAGTAGCTCACTTCTTGTACTTTATCACAATATTGAATTGTTGTAGGTAAGACATCCATTTCATATAGTGAGCTTGCTGCAACTTAGACTGTGTATTAAAAACTGAAGAGGTTTATAATCTAAGTGAACCACGACTTTTTTTCCCAACAATTAAGCTTTCCAATGCTTCACTGGTTGATGCATTGCATACAGCTCCTTATCATAAGTCGAATAGTTCATTACCGGTCCACTAAACATCTCCTAGTGGTATGCAACTGGTTTCCCATCCTAAAATAATATGGCTCTCATGGCATAGTTCCATGCATCTACTTCTACTTCAAATAGTTTTTGCATATTCGGTAAGGCTAGTGTTTGGGCCTCCGTAATCTTTTGTTTCAACAACTGGAAATATAAGGGTGCTACAATTTGTGAAAAGTGTCGAATAAACTTTCGCAAATATTGGCATGCACCTATAAATCTTCGAACTTTAATCACTGAACAGGGCGTGGGCTATTGAGAAAACACATGTACTTTCTTTAGGTCCATTTTCAGTTCTCTTGCACCAATAATGAATCCTAAGTATACAAGGTGTTATTTCCCAAATTCACATTTCTTATCGTTTAACTGCAACTAATTTGTTCATATAACCTCCAAAACTTGAGCAATATGATGAAGATGGTCCTCCCATGTGACACTAAATATGAGAATGTCATCTAAGTATACAGTGACGAAGTTGTCAATGAAAGGACGGAGTACCTCATTCATCAATCGCATGAAGGTAGCTGGAGCATTACATAGCCCGAATGACATGACTAGCCACTCAAAGAGTCCCTGCTTCATCTTGATAGCAGTCTTCCAAGTGTCTTCTTCATTTATGCGAACCTGGTGATAGCCGGATTTAAGATCTAGTGTCGTAAAGTAATGAACACGATGTAATTGATTTAACAAATCATCAATCCTTGGCAATGGATACCGATTCTTGATGGTTATTTTGTTAAGTGCCCTATAATCAACACACATACGCCAGTTTTAGTCTTTCTTAGGCATAAGTAACACTGGTGAACCACATAGTGAGTAACTAGGCTTGATGACTCTTTGTTCAAGAAGTCCCTCAATTTGCTTACTGATCTCTTTAGATTCTGTCAGAGAAGTACGATACAAACCCAATTTCGGTAGATACAAACCGAATATTATGCTCCACAGCTCTCTGCGGTGGCAAACCATGCACATCTTGAAATAAGTCCTTGAACTTATCCTGTAATTTCCCTATGTCTGAGCATTGCATAAGAGATAAAGACAATGTAAACAATGTCACAACTCCAAAACTCTGATCTTGAGGTCAAATCATTAACAAAACAAATCGCCCACATGAATTGACTAACCTCTTGGCTTAGTTAATTGTTAGCAAATTATCTGTAGCTTAAGGCTTGCATGCATTGATGTGGAACTCCTTTCCATCCTTCACAAGTCGATACTTGTGAAACCTCCGATTGTGAATAGCATCTTTGTCCCATAAATATGGATTGCCTATGCATCTCAGCAAGTATAGCTTCGAATGTGATGTGGTGTCTAAACCCACTTTTCTTACTAAAGCCTCTTAAATCAAGTTTTTCTGACTTTCAGGGTCAATGATAGCTTGTACAACACTTTGTTTCACCTGAATATTCACATGAAACAACTATTCACGGTTGTACTTGTCTTCAATATTTGCTCGTCTTATCATAAGGACAAGTGTAACATCAGGTTGCTTTAACTCTAAAATCTTTTCTGCCTATTGCACAGTCAATGTGGCTTTTCTTTCATTTCTCCCCCGGTTGTTTTTCTTGCGCTTTGGCCTCAACTTTGGATAAAGTATCTAGCACTTGTCTTTGGCATGTCTGCTAGTTTGACAGTGATCACAGTAAACCTTCTGTGTTTAGCCTTCCTTACTTTGCTACCCCTTTTTCTCCCAGTCAGTTTTGTTGACAGGTTTAATCTATTATCCTTCTTGTCAGTTCTTTTGTTTTTGGTTTCAATGGCGATGGATGGCCTTCACAGTAGCTTCTTCAATAGTATCTAAGGTGAACAATTTCAGTTCTTTCTATATGTAGTGGGCAAGACCTCCGGTATACTTCATGAAAACATTGTAGTCGTCGACGTCAATGTCCAGAACCATTGCTTGGTTGTGGAACTCTGTTGTATACTCTTATACAATCTGGCCAAACCTTTGTCTAAAGTCTTATCATTTATACCATCTTTCATCTTCACAGCCAAAGGGATAAAATTATTTTCTCAAGAGCATCTTGAAGTTCTTCTAAGTCAAGTATGAGACATCATACCATCTCCGATAGGACTTCCACCATGTAAGGGCATGGCTTGAAATTTTCGAACTCCCAAATTTTATCTTTTGCACATTAAAATACTTATAAACTGTGAAATAAGTTTCTAATGTGTCTATTCAGTTATCTAGCTTTTCAAGATCAACATCTCCTTTATATATAGGAATATCAACGTTAAAATCAATTTTTAAGGTATCAATAGAATTTTTATTTTCACTTGATTCAGCTTCCTTTTTCTCCGAATCAGCTTGTGTGTCGTCTTCATCTTCACTATCCTCAACAACCTTTTTCTTGAGCTTTTGAGCAAGCTCATATGAAGTTGATGGATGTAAAGGTTTTCCAGTCTTCAAACTTGGTGTACGAGCAAAGGACCTAAAAGTTCTGCGTTGGTTACGAGTTGAGACCATAAACCACCGTCCATCACCCTCTCGAATATGGTTCTCTGATACCACTAAAACTTCTAAGTGATAGAACTATGTATTCCTAATTTATAGGAATAAGGAAACGAGAGGAATTTTAAGACAATTAAATAAGCAAAAGGAATAAGCTGAGGAAATACTTTAAGTTCTGCTTGGTTCATTTCATTGAGAATGCACATATATATACATATTGAACTTGCTAAAAATAACTACCTAAAAATGGAAGATAGATTCTCAGTTATTTCAATTATTGTTCTTATTTTCACCTTTTTACGTGGTATCAGAGCTCTGCTCCATGACAATCATAAAGATGACGCTAACCTGCATTTTAACTTGTTCGATTGGGCCCATTTGAGACTACCTTAATATGACTAAAGAAAAAAATAAAGATAAAAACTTATAGTCTTGTTAATTTCCCCCAATATCTGGATTAAAGTTAACATCCACATATATATATATATATATGGATGTGTATGTATTTATTATGTTACCTTTCTTTTTTTCAGGCAAGCGACAGGAGGCGAGAACGAATGCAATGGTGAATACTCTTTTCTTGATGCAAAAGGTGATTATTTGCTAGCACTTGTTACAAATCCCCTACCATCTCACATATTCTCTTTACAAGTTAACCACTTATTTCATGCGATTAGTCTATTCATTCACACAAACAATACTGTAAAAGATCATGCTCTTAGTCTATTGTATTCACGCAAACAATACTTGAAAAAAAGGTCATGCTGCTTGTTGTACATTCGGGTTAGTTGAGGTTTGTTTCCAAGGCAAACGTGGGATAATATTTTCATTGAGTGAAATTAAGGGGTACAACCATATTATTCACTACAGAATATTCCAACCAAGGAGGAACGTATGTCTTCATCACACATTACAACATCCTGGCATTGAATAGCATGAGCAGCATTGCAGCAAGCCTGTAAGCTACAAAATTACAGCATCTAGGAATATAAGAGATAGAAATCTTCTGAAACAAAGTGAAACATCCCTTAACTTCACGAATGAGATTGCCATCTGATACAAGGTCCCTCCTCTTCTTTTTCTAACTGACAAATACAGCCTGAGCATCTGATTCCACTATAATAAAAGTGACATTACATATTCTGATAAGTGCAAATCATAGCCATCCAAATACGCATCCGTATAAAATTTGTAAAATTGGATCAATTTAGATGCAATACTGTAACACAAACATATTGGATCACCAAATCCAAATAATGGATGCAATTTATTTTTATAATTTTTTGTTTAATTAAAAATTATAATATAAATGGATGTGTAGTCATTCACCAACCTTTAGATGTAGAGCACTCAGTGGTGGAATCAAGATTTGAAAGTCGTTTATACTGAATTTATTACAGAGAGCATTTTTAGTTGTCACTTTAACTCAAGGTGTATGCTAACTATCACAATAAAGAAAAACAAATTACTCCCTAACACAATTCATTAACAATAATACTTGTACCATATTTATTGACCACATCTCTTATAGAATTGGGCCCAACTAATGTATGTGGGACCCACCTTTATTAGAGAAATGATTAGTAATGTGGTCAATAAATGTGGTACAAATAGCATCACTCTTTCACTAATATTCACGACGAATAAATATTTTTATTTATTTAATCTTGACCCGTTCAAAATAAAGTATCTTCTAATTACAAACCTTCGTTATAATTGACACAAAGAAAAAGTATGATCAAAATTACAAAGGTACATAGTCAGGAATGTGAATTTGTTTGGTTTTGTGTTTGTACTTAGAATGACTTTACTTATTTTCGGAATCAAGCCTATTTGTAGCTCATTGAAAATTATTTGAGATTTTTTTGTGTGTTGGATTTGGATAGATATTTGGATACGAAAGTTGTGGTGTTTTGGCCATTGTACTAGTGAGATCATTAGTTTGCAAATCAAGGCTATTTTCCACTATATTAGAACCCATTAGCTATAGTCCGTATTTTGATGAAAATTACCTTCAGGAAATTAGTCACATGACCAATTTCAAGGTTTTGATAAAATGTAATGGCAGGAATTAAAGTGATGCCTCAACTGAAAGCTTAAGAACTAGATTGATTGATTTGAGAGTTGAAGGATTGAAAATATGATTTTTAACAACTTCAAGGACCATTCATGATAAAAGTTATAAAATGAACCATGACCAAAAAGTAAATAAATACACTCAGTTGATCGCAACCGTTCATTTGTATAAATAGACCATCCAGTCCTCCTTCCAAACTTTGGAAATCTTTTTTATTCTAATCGCTAGGGTTTCTCAACTCTGCCGAAACCAAGTTTAGGGTTTACAGCCACTCTGAGCAGATCTCTCTCCCGCTCCTGATTCCCCTTGAGGTAAACCCAGTACCCAATCCGTTTCTTCAATACATTTGATCACCTTGAAACCGCTTCTCTGTTTCCAGAGAAAGTGCAGGAAAGTTTTTATTTTATTTCTTCCTCTGTACCGAAAGAAATACTAAAGTTGAAACCTTTAGCAGTCGTACGGGGTGATATATTGTTAGAAACCATGATTGGAAACTATATGTTGGTTGGTTTTTTGTGAAATTTGATTCAGAAGAAGTTTTAGTTTGGGGTTTTGGTGTTGGCTCTGTAAATGGTGCTGATTGCTTTTGCTTTTCTTTCCGGGAAAATGTGATGAACCATTTGGAGTTAGTCTATGCATTTTTGTTTGTAATTGTGGTTTTGGAGAAGTTAAGGCTTTTGCTATTGCTTATACTGAGATTTATACGATAAGCTAACCAGAGCTCCTCTGTTCCCCGGTCTCCACCTTTTATTATTCTGATGAGTTTGGAAGTGAATTTGAAAATTGATTCGTTTGTATGAGTTTTAAAAACGATTCGTTTGTTTCCTTTAAGAGTAGTAAAGCTGCATTGTTTTATCGACTTTTTCGGGTCTCTTGAAAAACAATGTAATTATGTTTCATGCCTTAATTCTTTAGTCAGATTTGTCAAGATGTATACGTCAAGGAACAGGATCCAGAAAGACAAGGGTGCTGAACCCACTGAGTTTGAAGAGTCGGTTGCGCAAGTAAGATATGCAGCTGTTTATTGTGTGTTGTATTCATGGAATTGTTGCTATAACATTTTGATGTAATCATGAGTTGTTTGTTGTCTCTGCAGGCAATCTTTGATTTGGACAATGCAGGCACAGATCTGAAAAGTGAATTGAAGGATCTCTATATTAATTCTGCTGTGTAAGAATATTTTACTGATTGCATATGTATTGTAAACTGTTGCCTATTGTATGATTCATATTACCCCTTTCTGCTCCAGTCAAGTTGATGTGGCTGGGAACCGGAAGGCTGTTGTTATTCATATACCATATAGACTGAGGAAGGCTTATCGCAAGATACATGTTAGGCTCGTGAGGGAGCTAGAGAAGAAATTCAGTGGAAAGGTGATTAATGATTTAAGTTCTTTGGTTCTTTATCATTTATGAAATCTAGAATAAACTGAGTCTAGGTTTTCTTTGTTATTTTCTTCTGTACTTGTTTCTTGGCATTACATTTTGCGCCTTACTATCAAAGATAATGTATTTCATCTTTTAGTTGCTAGTTCTCACCTTCCCATCTAACTTTCAATCAACCCATTTTATATTTCTTCTCTTATTTGACCAAATGATGTATGTTGCAAATTTTGTTCGTCTTTGGTGTTTATGGTTGATTTTTGGTTTGTCATTTGGTAGGATGTGATCCTGATTGCCACACGGAGGATGGTGAGGCCTCCAAAGAAAGGCTCTGCTGTTCAACGACCCCGCACTCGTACCCTAACTGCTGTGCACGAGGCAATGTTGGAGGACGTTGTTTTGCCTGCTGAGATTGTTGGGAAGCGCACCAGATATCGACTTGACGGATCCAAGATAATGAAGGTACATTGCAATGACCTTTTGAAGGAAAAAGATATTTTAGTCACCAATACACACACTTGGAGAGGGAAAAAAAATTTGGTTGGTCTATTTTTTAAAATGCGAAGAATAAGTGCCTTGTACCCAAGAGATGCTTCCCTTATGTGAAGATGTCAATAGACAGACACGTGGATTCACAAATTGAGAAGATAGTGTGTTTAGTGGGATAGATTGTAAGAGATTTATAATATAGATGTTTCCCTTATGCAGTTCATTTTTGGATTGCTACCATACTTATCTATGTTTAATTGTAATGTTGGGCAGGTGTTCTTGGACCCCAAGGAACGAAACAACACCGAATACAAGCTGGAGAGCTTTTCTGCAGTTTACAGGAAGCTTTCAGGAAAAGATGTTGTGTTTGAGTATCCAATAACTGATGCTTAGGAACATTTTGTGCGGTGACACCTTTTAAATACCCTTGCCCCCTTTTCTTTAATTATCTGCAGAACTGAATTGAGCAGGCAGTCAATTTAAAATTTTGATGTTGAGGACGTTTAGTGCGTGTGGAAGGATTTTGTTGGCTTCTTTATATCATTCAGAGTTGCATCTGTTCAAAATCGTATTTGGGTGTTATTATCTGTGATGTGGCTTGAATGTTCATTACGCTTGTCTATTTAGGGTCTTGCCCAGTGTTTTATCTTGTTGGTTTTTGTCACTTGACTATGTTTTGGAGTGGGTGTGAGTGCATCGTAGACTACTTCAGAGTACAAATATCAACTGTCACCACTTGCGTACCTAAGTCATAGTTAACATTTTGTGGGTCTTTTTTATGTATTTTAACTTTGTTCGACGTCTTTTCTATCGTGACTAATGGTAGTCCTAATTTTAGGACATGCATATGTTTGACCCGAAAACAAACATGGCGTTTGGTAAAGACTAGGGCTCCATTTAGATAAAGTGATTGAAAGAAATAATTTGGATTCGGCGATAAGACAGTTTGCTACAGAAACAAGAATCACATTAGCTTGAATTCCTGTATACCAAGATTTAGACAAGAAAAAAAGAAAAAAACAACAAATGGATTTCAAATCCATTCCTTAGATGTGGTTGTTTCAAATATATATACGTATTTATACGTACACTAACAATCGTTCAAACACAACCATCATAGTGAAACTTTGTACCTATTTGTAATAGCTTTTTATTTTGATTTCGATTACGGATTACTAAACATGCGATAATATCAAAGAAAAAAAGGAAAATAAATATTTAAAGAGAGAAAACAAGAACAATAAAGTAGGGATACAAAAATCACGGGCATATCTTTATTCAAAATTATTGTTCTTTGCATGCATGTTTTTCCTCTCTGTTTTTTCTTCTCTTTCCTTGTTTCTCTCTCTCTCTCTCTCTCTGTTTTTCTTCTCTTTCTCTGGTTTTCACCTTCTCTAGTTTTTCTTTGATTCTACTTTTGTTTTGAAGTTCTCATTAGTCATTCAATTTCTTGGCCACGTCTAATGGTCTCTCCCACACGGGAACCTTTTGGTGACTCATGTTTCCCAAGGCAGCCACAACGCGAATCTGCGGGTTGCTGCCATTCTGGTTTTCATGATTCAGGGAAGCATTTGGAGCAGTTTGTGAATGGGCTTCATTTTTTTCAAATTTAACAGATAAGATAGACTTGTTGGGAGTTATTTGCGGTTCTCCTTTTCTGTTTTATGAATCTGATATATCATATGATGGGCCTTCATTTATTTTTTGGGTTCGTTAAGGCTTGCTTTCCGCTTAACCCACGTGTCTCTGTGTTTTTTTACTTCTTTCCTTTAGTTTTCGGTTTGCATATCTTTATATTTTTTATTTTTCTTATTTTCTTTTGTGGTGATTGTTGATATTCCTTGTGAGCAATTTGAAGAGGCGTCGAAGATTTCTCTTTTTTTCATTCTTTTGTTTCCTAGTGTTTGGTTCAGGCCGCAAATTTTTTTATAAAGATTATGCTATTATTCATGTCTTTCACATTTGAGTTTCAAATAGTTTTCTTGCTATCTTTTGTGCTTCTATTTTATAGAGCATCTACTCCCAAAAAAAAAAACACTAATATCAAATGATAGAAAAAACACCAAAAATGATAATTCAAGAAATAAGACTGTATCTAATATGAAAAATAGGTAGATATTTATCACCAAATAAATTATAATAACAACTAATAACATATGAACATATTATTAAGTCTTTGAGGATGGGTCAGGAATTGTATTGTTATCCCTATCCTTGAATCGGGGGCGATAAGTGATATATTTATTTTTAATTAATAATTATATATAATCTATATATGTAAAGCAAAATACAGAGAATTGTGAAATATTCAAAATACCAGAAAATGTCATTGGTTAATGCAAATATTAAGAATTGAAATTATTAATTAGATTATAATAATATAATAAATTCACACTTTTTCATATTTAAAAAAAATTAAAAGAAAAATAAGATAATAGATCCTATTTTTTTGGAACACAACTACCCATTATCTTTTTTAATTCTAAAATAAATTTAATTTTTTTTTTAAATAAACCTCTTGTAAGCGCGAAAGTGTGTGTAAAGATGCTAGTATAATATAACAAGCAGAAGGTACATGATAGTTGAATTGAATTTTATACTTTGGTGTGGATAATATGAAGTTTTTTACTTGAGATGATTTTGATTAGTTAAGTTGAATTTTATATTTTAATTGAATATAACTAAGTTAAATCATAGTTTGAAGTGAAATTTAAGTGTTATAATGTAAAGTAAATATATTTTTTTATAAAAAAAAATAGGAATTCAGGGCGAGTTTGAGAAAGCCGGACAGGAATGGAAATGGGGACGGAAATTCCCCAAAAATATATTATCGGGGATGTGGGCAAGAACCGGCTCGTTGCCATCCCCAGTGCCCATGCCAACGAAGCGACGCAATAAAGCAGTAATGGAATCGCAGCCCACCAAATGCATGGGCATAAACGTCATTCACTGGTTTACACCCGTCTTTCTGGTAAATCCCGTCCACGCCGTAGTCAAAACTCCTTTGTCACAGCCCATTGACCCACCCACCTCACTCGCCAATTAAATTCCGCCACGCGGTGCTAGCCTAGAATCAAATTTTAATCTCGACCTTTCTTTTACCCACAGGTAATTATATCAGAACCCGCGATGGCTCTTTGAGACGTTGACCCTGGGCCTCACTCTCTTCTCGCGCACCACACTCTCGCAAAACCCATAAACACTAGATATTCATTATTCAGCGCTCTTTCGCTCTCTCTCGCCTGAAGCGGTCACTTCAGGATTTTTGTCGGCGATCTTCTTCTCTGTAAGATTGGTTCTCTTTCTCTCTGAATCTGGTTTTAGCTCTGTTTATCATGTATAGCTTCATGTCAAAGTCTTAAGAATCAAATCGAACAGTTTCTTTCTTTATTTGATATGGGTTCTCTTCGATTTGGTAGAGAATACCAATGTGGGTGTTTCGGATTTTGGATCCTTTCTTATTAATTTGAGTTGGGTAATCTGTGTTTGTGAGCAAAAACTAAATGACCCATGAAGGGCTCTCCCGTTTGTTTGATTGAAATAGTGTTAGATGATGATTTTCTTTTACGTTTTTGGGGAATAGTGTGAGTTTAAGTGGACCCAATCACCCTTTTCATCTTTGGAGCTTATGCTAGTTTTTTCCGTAGCATCAGTCAGATTTGGTCTTGAAATCTATTGGGTTACTGGATTTATAAGAAGTTTAGGCTTAGATGAACTATGGGGGTTAGTTTGAAGTTAGCTTTAAGGCGCCGGAATAACCAAAGGTTGCTGGTGTTTATATGAAATAACACTTCGGTGTTGAGATCTCAGAATTTTGGTCAAAATTATGTAGATTAAAGTCTGGAAGAGAAGTTTTCATTATATTCTCTTTGCTTTGAACTCAAACGTTCTTTGCGTTTGTGTTTGTAAATGCAGTTTAGTGAGATATGAATCTATAGTTTTGCTGAAAATGAGTCATCAACTAGGAATTCAATGATGTCTTTATGTTGAGGCATCAAAAAGTTAATATGTCATTGTCTTGAAAAAGTCACTATGTGACATGTTTCCATTAGAGTCTCTGTTAAGTACTCTAATATTGTAAAGATGTTTTCTTTCTTTGGTGATGACCAAAAGGCCCTGCTTAACTTTTCCTTAAAAACGCCATGCTCAAAGATAAGTTGGAACACAAATAAATATTTGTACAAGTAATTTGCTTGTGCATTGCATTATTCTTTCTGTTGGGTAATACATTGCATTTATTACTGCTCAAATTATGCTTTTTCTGTTTTCTAATTTTTTAATTTTTCCATCAGTGGCAGGACCATTCTTGCCTAATTCTCAATTTATCTGTATTGACACTTCTTTTTAAACAGTTCTTTGTAACTATGGGCAGCAGTCCAGCGCCATTTTCAGATATTGGAAAGAGAGCAAAAGGTATCAAGTTTCAGATTTCATGCGTTAAGATTAACAAGAAAGTTTAGATGGATTTTGTAATTTTATTTTATTTTATTTGGTGGCTTGAATTCTTGAATGATAATTTGGACAGAAAAGCTTGAAAGATAGTGTTGTAATAGCCAAAATTGGAAGCCACATAATGGCAGAGAAATTCTTTTCACATGGCTTGTTGTTCTCTTTACCTGCTTGCTGTTCTCATAAAATTTATTCTTTGTTGTTTCATGTTTGATGATTAAGTGTTGGCTTTTTTTGAGCTGCAGTATTTTTATCTCACGTAGTATAGTTCAAGTTGATCTTAACGTTCCTTTCCTTTATGCAGATCTCTTGACCAAAGATTACAACTTTGACCAGAAGTTTACTCTGTCAGTGGTTGGCTCCACTGGGCTGGTATTATCTAATTCCACTTTCTACATTTTAGGTTATTTCTTCCAGTATGATTTGTTTACTGGAAAGCTAAACATTTGAAGTTTGCTGTTTTTCTACGAACTTTCTGAACTTTAGCTATAAAGTACAATACTTGTTAGCCGCTGTAAAAAGAAGAATCATGGTTGTTTAGTAAATTCCCTTCCTTATCCCCCAAAATTTATTTTCACAAATCAATCAGAATATTAGACATGATCTAAATAGTTAATCAGTTTATGCCCTTTGCTAAAAAACTCCACAAGATGATAGATTTGTGCTGATTTGTGTAGCAGTGGAAAAGGTGCTTTGTACATACAATTACATCTGATGTTAAGACAAGATTGAGTGCATGCGTAAAGCTGAAAATTTTATTAGTGCCAGATGCATGCCTGAATACGTAGGTTCTTGGTCAAAAAAATTTTGGTTGTTCCCAGCATCTGTTTGCTGCGATTACTGTAATATTGTCTTAAATTGGTGTGAAGCTTTAGATATGTTATTACCCACATTTTATTTTCACCCACTTCTGCTTACCAGCAAGCAGGAGCTCTAAAATTCACTGTATCTAGTGTTGTTTTCCACTATTATTTCATTCTAGTAACTTATTATAACATAAATTGGCATTACCCTTATCAGTGGCTTCAGGTAGTAAAAGAAGGGCATCTGGGCATTTAAGAAATGCCTAGTATTGCTGGATTCTCTGTATTCTATAAGTACATTTATGCTATATGTTTTTGTTTGCTTTTTAGAAAATAGTATTTATTTTTCCCACTCGGTTATGTGGCTAAT